GGGGTTGCTCATCTAGATTGTGGGTCTCCCTGGGGCTGCAGCTGGAGCAGGAAGTTTTGGCAGGACAGTAGGTAATCTTAAAAGCTGACAAAGCTTAGAGCCAAGCTGAAAGCTGAGGTCCAAGAAGAGGGAGTTAAGTGACTGATCTGAAAAAGCCAGAAGAAATGTCAACACTGGGGAGTGGAAGAGAAACATGGGACCAGGCAGGTGTAAGAGGCAGAGGGGAAGTGAGGAGATTCTGGGACAGTCACCTGAGCAGGTACTGCACCTGTCAATGGCTTGCACCGATCCATGAACATGTGTTGCAGACCTTCACCTGGTCCATCTACCACCCTTTCCAGTCTTGCCTGTACATAATCTGTAGGCACAGTCTTTGTTCTGGCTTTCTCTGAGCTAATGAGGGAACGATGATTATTCAAACTTTTTTTCTGTAGAGAAGTCAGGTCTGAATTTATCCATCGTTGTTCATTTTCCCCTAGTTTTTCTCTGTGGCAACCACAAAATTCTTACACTTTCTGGGCCCTTCCTTTCCCTTACCCCAGGGCCTGCTGCAGCCCTGAGCAGGGGCTCACCCCATGGAGTACTGCTCCCTTACCCCCCACCCCTCACTTCCCAGTGTGTGACCTTGACCATGTCACTCCCCTCTGCGGGCACTTTAGCCAACTGCTCTGCTATTCTGGGATTCTGTAAGTCTGTCTCCTTTGCTCGTCAAGCTCTACACCACAGGGACCAAGTCCAGAAATGCCATTCCAAATCCTCACTGGTAAGCAGGTGTCTGCCCACAGACCCCAGTCCCCAGATGCTATAGGCAATTTGGGAACTATATTTTTAAAATTACCACAGATGGGAAGACTAAACTGTAATGAGACTTGTTTGAAAATGCTGCTTTTAGCATTTTAGCCCAACTCTTCATCCCTCATTACATTCAGCTTTTCAGATGGCTGCCCCAAATAGCCCATGATCTTCCTGATTGCTCCTGGAGAAGGGCCTCAGATCATTGCGGACTCCATGCCCCCCCAGCCCCCACTTCTGGTTCTAGTCCATTGCAGCACTATTGAGATCCCATATGATCAATGTTACGGCCTTTTAAACAGCCTCTGTTATCTGCATAAACATGGGCAGATTTGCTTTTTCATCGTGCCCTAGAGGTCTATTACAGCTTCTATTATCTTCCCTACCATATCTGTCAGTAACCTGAATCTGAGTTCTTGGCTTTGCAGGTTCATTTGCATCTGTCATCTTTTTATCCACACAGTAATGCTCTTCCTGCCTCTGTGCTGCTATTTTCCTTTCCTGGAAACTGTCTTCAGATCGCATCCCTAGTTATGCAAAATGGGACCATTTTTAACCCTTACAAACATGCCCCTGGTTTGTTGGGTGATACACCTTCTGGGTGAGGGGCTTGTCCCAAGGGCTGGTCTTATCCTTAGAGCAGCAATGATGTGGGCAGGATCTCAGGTTGATTATATAGTGAGCTGGGAGTTGGCATAGACCAGGGTGCAGGCAGGAGCCAGGGTACCAACATGAGTGAGAAGGCAGGCAAGGACCAGAGTACAGGGGCATGGGCCAGGGTGCATGCAAGCGTCAGTGTGTAGTCAAGGCTGGGGTGTATACTTAAGTCAGAGTGTAGGTACAGGCCAGAGTGCATGCAAGAGCTAGGGTGCAAACCTAGATTGGGGTGTAGACATAAGTTAGAGTGTAGGCCTAGGTCAGGATGCAGGCATGGGCTGGAGTACAGGTGTGGGCAGATTGGAAGCCGGGGCAGATGGAGTCCAAGCAGGAGGGGCTTGTTAGGAACTAGGAGCCAGGAATTGAATGGGGGAAAATCAGAGGTGAGGGTCTCGGTAGCTGGTTTGAATCCAGAAGTTGGGGGTCTGGAACGCAAGCCAGCTAAATCCAAAGTCACATTGGGAACCTAGGCAATGTGACAGCCCAGGAGACAGAGTTTTCTGCTGGTGACCTTGCATGAAACTCTGGAGACAGACTGTTTAGATTTAGATTCTGGCTATCCTCTTTCAACTGATGGATTTGGAGCAACTTATTTAACTTCACTGAACCTCAGTTTCTGCATCTGTAAATTGAGTAACTATAATAGTACCTTCCTCATAAGGTTGTTTGTGTTAAAATATGTACAGTTCTTAAAAGTGGTGCTTGGCCCATAATAGCATTGGATTCAACTATTTTAATTTAATTTAAAAAAGAAATGAAAGAAACTAGGTCACTTTGCATGTGGAAAATTCTATGCCAGGGGTTTGTGGGTCTGTGCAGCTTCTGATTCTGCTATGGGAGTATCTCCTACCTGGAAAGGTTTGGCCTTGGTTAGCATGGGGATCTAGTCTCACTCCTTCTATTTGCTTATTAGCAGGGTAACTGAACAATGATAAATTTTTATTTCAAAGTACTTCTGAAAATGTGGAAAATAAGCACAGAATATTTCTGCACTAACCATAGCCACTAACCATGGCTTTGATGTTAGTCTTGGGTTTAAATCCTCATTCTTATATATGATGACTTACATGGAATCTTGTTTGGCTGATGATTTGCTGCGAGACTCAAAAATCTGAATTTCCAGGAAAAAAATCTAAAGTAAATAAATAAATCCTCATTCTTTTATCATGCATCACATTGTATTTGGCAAGTATGACTCTGAGTCTTGGTTTCCTCATCTAGACAGTGGAAATAGAAAACCCCATCTCACAGAAGGAATCTGAGGCTCCAGATAAGGTAGGTAAACACATGACTCAAACTTTCCTTTTCCTTTCCTCCCAAAGCATCTGCTCCCTCTCTTGGTGTGGGTCCTCCTGTTGGCCTGGGCTGCAGTCTCATCTGACAGCTCTCCTGGAGGGGGTGCATGTCTCCCCTCTCCAAACACACCATCAGCCACAAACTCTGAGTCATTTTTCATTTTATCCCGTCTTTACCCTCAACCAGAGTCAAACCCCAAATGCACTGAGGCTTTTAATATTTGAACAAGAAACTTACCTTAACAGAGGCCATTACTAGAGTAATTTCAACTTTTCACTTGAAGATTTCTTGATTTTACCCCATAGCCCTCTAAATTTTCCATTTCTTTAAGCAGAGAAGTGGCTGCTTTTTCTTCTACCCATCCTCTGAAACTGTAGTGGCCAAATTCTGTCTTAAGTGTGTGCTTTGCTGTAGAATATTTGAATTCTTCCTTTATCTCATATTCATAAAATTTCTAATTCCAGTACTATTAAAGATCACCTTTGGCATGGCTCAGGTGGCAGGGCTTGTTTGCTTCTGGGGGAATGGATTCGCCTTGCCATTCACTCCAAAGCCAAGACACATCTGCTTAGGGTTTGTCGATTTCTTCCATCAGGACTCATATTGGGCTTCAGTAGCAGTCAGACTGAAAAAAAAAAAAAAAAAAAAAAGTGAAGAGATGCTGATATGGGAAAGCTGATGGCAAAGTGGGATCATCCTAAGAGGAGCAGAGAACTGTGTGATAGATGCCAACACAGGGGGCCTGTATACTGTGAGTCTTGGGGTTCAGCAAGACATCCTCCTATCTTTGCCACAACTCTAAATCTAAGGCTGGAGTTGAAGTGCAAAAGAAATCAGAGCAGCAATAAAATCAGCAGCTGGAATAATCCTGAAGACTTAAAGTACTGAGAGGCAGATGCTAGAATTAATGGGAACCTGAGGCTCAGAGAGGTAGTGCTGCTCAAGGTCACACAGCCTTAAAGTGGCAGAGATGGGAATTGTCTACAAGACTCCAAGTCCCTTGGTCTCTACTCTGCATCACACTGCTGCTAAACTCCAGCTCTTAGGTTGACCTCCTCAGCCCCACATTATGGTCTTGCTTCCTTCTGATGTTTTCTGGCTCCAGGCTGATGTCAGGGATAAGGGAAGTGGCAAGGACTGATGGACAATGGATGGAAGGGCAGTAGCAGAGAGCATCATAGAAAATTTATTACATCCTAGAGATCTCTTTTGCCCAGTCTGAGCCTCACTCAGTCCTCACAGGTGCTGGAAAAGCCGATATTAGCATGGTGGAAGATGGCTGATCCTGATCTGGGCCCTCGTTATCTTCCACTGGAGGAGGTTCAAGGCCACAGGGGCCCAGCTGTTAGGGGAAAAAGGCTGTCCCAAAGCTAATTCCATACAGGCTTTGTGGACTCCACCCCCACCCCAGTGTTAGGGGGAAAAGGCTGCCCCAAAGCAAATTCCATACAGGCTTTGTGGACTCCACCCCCACCCCAGGCCAAAGCCAAAGACACTGGGAACTCTACATCCCATCACCACCCAAGGGAAGGTGGCTGGGACCTGAGGGTGGGGTTAAGCAGCCAGGTGGATACAAAAGGCAGACATGTGGGCTTTGGGGCTCTCTCCATTTTGGGGCCCTCGGCCAGCTCGCGGCGTCCGTCTAGCTCTGAGAGTGACTTTGGGTTTCCAGGTCGTCGGATCGGGTAGGACGCATTAAAGACTTTATTTCCCTATTTTCTCCCTGAGTTGTACATTTTCCTTATTTCTTTTTCTCTTGTAAATAAACCTTTTATGAACCCTTTTGCGTGTGTCTGTAGTAGAGTATTCATAAGTCCCTTTAAAGCGCGCGGGTGAGGACCTGTTGTAGAGCAGCCCCGATACAAAACGGGGTGCCTGACTGTGGGTCCTCACCCGCGCGCTTAAAAGGACTTATCAATGCTCTACTGCAGGCACACGCGAAAGGTTAATAAAGGTTTATTTACAAGGGAAGGGGAAATGAGGAAATGTACAGCTCAGGGAGAAAAGTGGGAGACAAAGTTTTAAATGAGTCCTACCCGATCCGCCGATCAGGAATCCCAAAATGGCGCTCTGAGAGCTGGCCGCCAGCCAGGAGCGGTGAAGCCAGGAGGCGAGCGATCGCGAGCCAGAGAGAGAGCAAGGCCCACGTGTTTGGTTTTTATATCCAACCTGGCTGCCCAACTCCACCCTCAGGTCCCAGCCACCCTCCCCTTGGTGGTGATGGGATTTGTCTTTCCCAATGTCCTGATGGCTTTAGTCTGGAGTGGGGGTGGAGTCCACAAAGCCTGTATGAGATTATCTCAGGACATCCTTTCCCCCTAACAGACCCACAGCCAGGAACCCGTTTAATATCGGGGTTGCTCTATAACACAGCCACAATGGCTACAGACATGACTCGGGGTGGGGGCAGGGAGCCAACCTTGCAGGCTATCACTGCCTTCTTACTAAAGTCTGTTCTCCCCAGTTTCCTCCCTGAGCCTCACCCTAGACTGTGTTCTTAGTAGCTCCCAGGCGGTAGCGTCAGGAAGGGCATAGTGCAGGTTTTCTATGATTCCAGCAGACGGGGTGAGGAGAGAGTCCTGGAGACCTTGTTGGCTTTTGCAGGCTTTTATTGGGATTTACCAGGTACACGGCTGGCAAGGGGTTCTGGGGGGCCGGGAGGCTGGCAGGCCTCCCGGCCCCCAGCAAGTCTTCACTCTTTCTGGGCTCTCTGGTGTTATCTGGAGGTCTGTGTTCTCTTTTGCTCTGCTCGTGGTTCTGCTGGCGTCCCCATGACGCTGCCCTTATAAGCTCAGTCTATCAGCCCACATGTACCCAGTTATGCATGCCCACACCCTACTCCAGGTGTCCGCCAGGATCCATCAGCAATCCTAATGTTGGGAGGGCAGAAAAACCTGATATCATTTACTTACACTATACAGGCCAAGGACCTTCTGGACCCTTGGTTCTGATGTAGCACTGTGCCTGCAGCGGGCCCTGTGATGCAAGCCCACACTTCCTTCTCCCGCCCCACGGGGCTGAGGCACATTCCCCTGACATTTCTCAGTTGTGTCAGTCTCCAAATTTGCCCTCAGTTGAAGAGAGTCACCTCACCCATGGAGTCCTTCCAGGGACTGTACATCCAGGTTGAGTCAGTGCAGGGGAGAAATGGGCCCTAGTCCTTGCCCCAGCAGGACACCTCTGCAAGACCACCCTCACTCCAGAGCATCCCTAAAGGATGCCGATGCCTTTGTGACTCCCACATCACAGTTCAAGCCCTCCTGCAGTTCTGCTTGCTTCATGACTTCCACAGGTGTGGCTCCCCAGAGCACTCCCTTATGAAAACCCTGCACAGCTGCTTCCTTTTCAGAGCTTGCTTCTGGAAGAACTCGACCTGCCGACCTGCGCAGATCCTACATGCTGTCTCAGGTTACTGAGAATCTATGCACCTCCCTCACAGACCAGTCCTGCCCTGAGGCTTGGTTCAGCCCCACCCTGGCCCACTGCAGCCCCTATTCCCTTACCCCCAGGCCCTGGCCCTGGGGAGTGGATTCAGGCAAGTCCAAGCTCTTCACGCACAGGTGTGAAAACAGACCCCCCAGCAAGGAGAGGGAGGGCTTGCCCAAGGTCACATTGCCAGGCAACCACCCTGCATTCTCCCCTCCTTATCCTACACTATTTCTACTGTGATGATGACTTTTCATTTTAACAGACTGAATCCAATCCAAGCACCTTTCTTGAGCTCCTGCCCCTGCTGCTGGTATTATTTCAGTGCTCCCAGCCTTCCTGTCACCATGGATACCTTTTGTGTCATTATCCCCTCTGACTCCCTGCTTTGGAAAATCTTACTACCATGTACTCTTCCCTTGCAGATAATAATAAACTTGTTTTCACAGTTTTATTCATCAAAACCATATGTAACTGCCAATCAGAGCTTCTGATCCAGAAGAGATCATCACAGTTGGTATAAATATTGAGTTGGAATAAATTGAAGCTTGTAGCTTCATTTAGTTTGAGGGGGATGATGATTACTGAGGAAAACATGCAGTTTCCACGAGATGCTTTAAACTTGTGAAAACCACAGAGATACCCATGCCTGCTCTGAGATGGAAGAGAGTCAGGACCCCAAAGCCCCACCTTGCAGAGTGTAGCTATCCCAGCCCCCTGCTACAAGATACCTAAAGTTTCCTACAGTCAGGTCCCGACCCTTCTCCTCACCCCTGTCCCTGGCCTCTAGCATTCGTGGGAGCCTTGAGTGCAGGGCCAGATTCCTTCTTCTTCTGTCCTTGGTCCTCCATTTTTTTCTATTCTTCAAACAGATACACTTGGGGAGGCAGGCAAGTAGGCACAATTTAAACTGTGATTACCAATTTAGTCCTAGTTATCAGTTATGCCCTTTGTAGAGCTTCCTGACAGCTCCTTAAACCAGATGATTTGGAGTTCTGCAAAGCCTCTGGGAGGTGGAAAGGGCCCAAGGTGTCCCGGGAACAGCTCCAGCTCTGGGAACAGTTCCAGCTCTCCAGGCTGTGTCTGTGGGCGTGACATAGCCAGGCCCCGCAAATGGGTGGGCAGCCTGGTTAATTGCTAGCTCCCATGTTCAGCTTACCATCCCTAGCACAGAAGCCCTGTGAGGGCAGCCTCAGAGGGAGGGTCCCGCCTGGTAGTGATGGAGACAGTGGGCTTTCCAAACCACACCTGGTTCTTCTTCAGGAGCTGGCCACAGGGCCCACAGATTCCAGGTTTTGTGGGTTTATCCAGCTTGTCCCCAAAATGCTACAGGCAGGATTGTAGACCTGGGGTTCGTGCCCAAACAAGGGGCAGAAAAGTGATCTACACAAAGATGGA